TTTAGAATAATCTGAATAATTATCTTCAGGGTCTTCTAAACTAAAATCATTTAAAGCACTATTGTAATCAGAAAAATCCTTCTGTATTGAATACTCTGAGTCACTACTTTCTTGTGAAATTTCATTATATTTTAGAGTTTTAGATAAATTTTGTATTTCCATATTAATATTTAGTAAAAATGAATTTTGAATTTCATATGATATGTTTATATTAACATCGACATTAGAGAAATTATAATTAGGAACAGATTTTATTTTACTATAATTTTATTATTATTATATATAATTAATGTTAAATATTAATTAATATTAATAGAGTGTGGCAACTTAGTGAAGTTGGTAAGTTGTCACACTTCCAAACAGCATGGACAAGAGTTTGAATCCCACTGGCGATGAAATTCGAATTTTATAGAATGTGTTACAGCAGACTGTGTGTAATCTGACAGATCAGCATTTGTAACCTTGGTCATACCAGCTAGTACTGGGAGGATGCAGAACAGTAGTGTAATGCAAAAGTTACACAAAATCCAAGTGATATATCCGGTAAATCCAGAAGATCAGATACACAGAAGCCCACTTGGCAAGTTCTGAATGGAGAGGTAGCACAGATCTTTGACGGTACTACGTAAAAAAAATCATCAGCAATCAGACCTGATAGCCAACTAAACAAGGACCGGATGTTTGGCAAGGCACCACACCAACCAGGCCACATGTATATGGAGAAAAGGATTCATCAGAATACCAGAAGATGCAAGTTCCTTCCGGGCCATCTGGATTGGAATTTAGGGACACTGTTGGTGTATCAGGAAAGTTGGTGATAGTCCGTAAAGTGGGTGCTGGGGTCTGAATGAATTCATAAGGGCAAGAGTAGATAATGGTTATTAGATATTTAGGCAAAAGACTGATGACTGTAGGATAGTAATGATAATTAATGCAAATCTAGATTCTAAAAATTGAGTTAAAAAAAAAATCTTTTGATTAGTATAATTATACCTGGGCCAAAAGAGCCAAAAGATCTTAATTCCTATAATCAAAGAATTACAAAGTTAAAAAGTAAATATCTTTATATTAAATTATTTATTATAAATTTATTTATATTATTAAATTAAATATTTATTTACAATTTATTTATATTAAGAGTAGGATATTTATATGAACCAAAATTAGCAAACATGGCTGGCGTAGCAAAATAACTAGCCAATAAAATTTGATAATTTTGGTTCATATAACTTCTACAAATATTCTACCCTTAAATTATTTATTAAAATTTATTTATATTAACTACTTATTAAACTTTATTTTATTTTTTACTAAATGTTAGTTTATTAATAGGGGTATAAATTATTATGATGCGTTTAAAGAAGAATATTTTATCCTTTGTGCTGTTATAGTTAATTGGTCAGATAATACTCCAGAGTTGACAAAATTAATGGATATAACTGGTATAATAGTTAT